ATAATTGTAATGTTGTTAATTATCTAATAAAAAGCCCCCCGGCCATAGAGGTCACCTTAAACAACAAAAAAAAAAAAAATAAATTAAAATTTTTTTATAAATAAAATTTCCCTAGTAATATCCTTAACCAATAGAAATCTTAGAAATAGGTCACGTGACCATGGGAAAAAAACATAGAAACGGTCTGCCAATGCCGCATTCACATGACCTATTTTTCTTATTGACATAGCAATGTTTTCATAAATTTTAGAGTATTTGAAAATTTTTTGATATCCAAATAATAACTTATTAACTTAGACATCGGAAAATTTTCAATTGTCCCAGAATTTGTGAAAACAGCTGTAATCGTATTGATTTTTGCTATGCCGATAAGATAAGTCATGTAAATGCTATATTCAGTAGACTGTCCCAACAAATAATATTAATGAAAATTGTATAAGTGATCTTAATTTTGGTCAAAAAATAGTTTAGTTTTATTTTTTAAAATTAATTTATAATTTTCTGTTGAGTTTTGATAAATAAATGCCTTGTGTTCATCTTTTTCAACACCAATTCCACAATCATAACAATATCCAACATTACATGTTCCTTTAGCATGCTTCATATTTGATAATAATAGTGCATTTATGTTCATCTTTTGCAATGCCAGCTCTATTAAAATAACAAAATTCAACGTTATATGTTCTACAAGCATCCTGTCTCTGATCTCGCTAATAAATAAATGCCTTATGTTCATCCTTTTCGACACCAGTTCCATTAAAATAACAACATCCAACATTATATGTTCCACAAGCATCCCCATTTATGATTTTCACTAATAAACAAATTTTTTATATTCATCTTTTTTTAATTCCATTCTATTGTTATGACAGTTATCAAGTGCAAATATTTTATCAGCATTACCAAATTCAGCCAAGTTAAACATACGTACATATACCTATACGCTCATATGCATATACAATATCGCCTCTTGGTCTTTTCTTGCAGACTCATCATATGAAAACAACTAAAATAGCACAAGTTAATAACAATATACAATAAAAAAGGTGAATGTACTAGTCAAAAGTGATAAAATCAGTATTAGTTCATCCTAATTGAAGTTAAATAAATTGGTTGCCAAATGTGCTAAATGTATACTGGTTTTTGATAGCATTCTGCAAGCAATCTGCATGTTCTGTCAATATTCAGTTGGTTAACTTGCTAAATATCATTAGAATACTAACAGAATATCGTCATAAACCTGTATACATTTAGCATACTTAACAGCCAATTGATATAATTTCAACTGGTACTGATTTTTTTATTTTGACTAGTGTATGCAATACTTATCAGGGAATTTGCAGAAGAAAACCTAAAAGTGTATATGATATCAGTAAGATATTCTATATAGAAAAGAGAAAATTGAAATTATTATATTACAAAAATGGAATACAAAAATACCACACAATGGTAAAGGCAACACCAACACAATGTTAAAATGACGCCCAACACAATGGCAATTTGGTGTCCAGCACAATGGTAATAATGGTGCCAATACAATAATAAATGTGTGTGTGAAGTTTTTTTAAAAAAATAAGGAATTATCATGACTATTCAAATAAAAGTTATAAAATTATACTTACACCACAAAAAATCGCGAAATTAAACTTCTTTTTGGGACCTTGATTGAGTTTTTATAAAAAAAAAAAAACAAAAAATAATTTTTTAGTATTCACCGGTGGTGAAATTCACCATTATGTTTTTAATTATTATTATATAATCTATAGAAATTTTATCATGAATTTTAAAGCTAAAATTAAATTTTAGAATTAGCATTAGAGTTTAAGGCTTAAAGTGGTTTTCAGAGTGCTGAATATTTTACTTAGTATACCAATCAATACCAAGCACCGATTGTCAAAATGTTTTTGAAAAACAACATACTCGGTAAATTTCACCTTCGGTAAGCTTTAAAATCATCCAGAAAAAAAAAAAAAATTAGCAATTTGTAACAGTGAGAAAATTAAATAAGATGAACAAGCAACGAAAGAAATGAATGACCCTTTCAATAAAAACAAAACAAGAAATATGTCAACGTAAACAAAAAAATCCATTCATTAGCATTGATCAACTTTCTAAAGAATACGGTTGTGACCGGAGTACAATTTCAAAAATTTAGAAAAAAAGTGAAAAGTGGTTGTCCATACAACTAGCAGATGCTAAAGAAAATAAAATAGTTAACCACCCAGCAAAATTTGTGGAGTTAGAAACTACCTTATATACTTGGATGCAATGGATTCTTTCACGAAATGGAATAATAACCGATAGGATTCTACAAATTCAAGCTAAAAAATTTGCAGAGTTATTAGATATCAGTGAAGAAAATTTTAAAGCAAGCCAAGGTTGGTTAAACAGATTTAAAAAATGGCATGATATTCAAAGATTCAAGATCCATGGAGAATCAGAAAGTGTATCTGCTGAAAACCTTTCTGAATATAGACAACAATTAGTCAAATTACTCTCACAATACCAGCTAGAAGATATCTATAATGCAGATGAAACTGGTCTCTATTATAGGATGTTGCCTGATTAAACTCTTGTGACAAAACCTGTTAAAAGAAAAAAAAAAATAAGGAAAAAATAACCATTCTTTTTTGTACAAATGCAACCAAAACGGACAAACTCAAACCATTAGTTATCGGAAAGTCACCAAAACCACGATGCTTCAAGGGTATTCAGAAGGAAAACCTTGGTGTAAAATATGATGCTAGTCAAAAAGCATGGATGATGGGTAACATTTTTGATTGTTGGATAAAATCTCTAAATGCTGTGTGTTAGATAAAATGTAGGAAAATTCTTTTATTAATCGATAGTGCTTCATCACATCCAGAAAGTTATGAATCTTCTCATATTAGGCTGTATCTTTTACCACCTTATATGACGTCTTGCTTGCAACCATGTGATGCTGGAATCATCCATGCATTTAAAGCTCACTATCAGAAATTATTTCTTCAAAATCTAGTAAATACTCTTAATAATGATGAAGAAATACCCAAACTTAGTAATTTAGATGCAATCAAGTTCATTACAAAAGCATGGGACAATGTAATCTCCCAAACAATCATTAACTGCTGGAAGAAGACTGAAATAGTGCCAATAAATGAGTGGAACTGGTCAAATTTAAATGCTAGAGTTAGAAATGAAATTGAAAATGAAGTTGAAGCCGAAGCCGAAATAGAAGCTGAAGCCGAAATGGAAGCTGAAGTTAAAAGGAAAGCTGAATTGGAAGAAGCCGAATTTGAGAAAGTTAAGACCGAAGTTGAGAAAGCTGAAGTAGAGGAAGCCGAAGTCGAAGAAGAAGTCAGAGTCGAAGAAGAGGTTGAACAGCTTATTCTTGAAATTCCTTATCATCTTATGCGAGTAATGACTACTAATGATTATATCGAGGCTGATAATAATCTTGAAACAGAAGAGGTTACTGTAGATGAAGCTACCATTATTGAAGAGATTTGTTATCAGTCTGATTTCAGTAATAGTAATAAGGATAGTAATGTTGAAATTGAGAAAATTTCTCATTCTGTTGCCTTGGAGCAATGTAAATCATTTATATTATATATAGAACAACAGGATCCTACAAAATTTGTGAAAGACCAAGACCTACCAGTATTACAAAACTTGTTAAAACGAATTTGACTAAATGAATCCTAATCAAAGAGATAAAAAATATTAACTGACTTTTTCTAAGGTATTTATTATAGAATAGATGAGTTAGTCCAAGGTTGCAAAAAAAAAAAAAACAAGCCATTTTTTTTTGCCTTGCCCTTTATTTTTTTATTTTTTTTATTTTTTTTACAAAATCATGTTAATGCAAATATGATAATAAAGAGGCGAAGTGAGTGCACATTATATTTATCAAATCTACGAAATATATGGTATTTATTTATTTTTCCTGTCCTTATGGCTCTCTTAAGCCCATTAATGAAAAGAAAGAGAATGCGAATTAGCATTAGTAAAAAAATCCAAATCAATTAAATTTGTGATTACCTTGATCATGATTCAATTACATATAATCCCGTAATAGAGAACCAAAACCCAGCACACCTAAAAAATAAGCAATTCGATATATAAAATACTGTATTAAAGTAGTAAGTTTAAAAAAAATAAAATAAAGAATACTAACCAATAACGAGATACCTATTTTCTGGAGACACGCAACCTTATGCCTACCAATTAAATTATAAGATTTGGTGTAACATAAAATGGCATAGTCTACAATTTTACTTGTGAAATGATCTTTAGCATCTTAATAAAAATTTTGTCATATTTTATCAGATCAGAATTTGTAATCAATTTCGTCCAATCAGGAACAAGATTCTTGAGTGTCTAATAGAACCTTAGGGGAGAAATTATAAATCCATATAAGCACAAACAGTGTTATGAATTCAAAAAAATTTAATTCGTGCAAACGCAAAAAAATATGCTCAAAAAAAAAATTTTATACGCGTGCTATATATATGAAGAGCGCTGATATTCACACAAATTTAAATCTATATATGCTGTGCCTACTGCGCGAACCCAATTTACATCACAACGCACAGGTGTGTAATTTTAAATTTTAGCCTAAATTAAGTATAATTCAGGCCACTATTCAAAATAGCATTCTTGGGTGTTATTTTGTGCTTGTATAGTCCCTATAGCAATACTTTATATTAAAATTTATTTTTTTTCTTTGTTATCCACCCCCACATATATAAACCAAATTGCCCAAGCCAAATAGGTTGATTTTAACAAGGGATGACTGTATTAAACATATTTAACATGTTTATCAATACACTCATAAAAAGAAAAATCTCAGTAAAAGTATTAATTGATACAATATCTAAATATAATACTATTAGCAAACACTTATTCAATAAGCTTGAATCTGATCATGGATTAGAAAGTATAGTTGGTGATGATCTGATAGGTGAAGAAATAAAAGGCTTAGATTTACAGTTTTATATTAAAAGAAAGTGGCAAAGTTTAAATAATACTGAACTAATAGACTTTCAAATTCACAAAAATCCATCATTCGATCTGGTGTTGGGGCAAGATTGGTTATAGATGCATAAAACAAAAATAAGCTTTGGACATTCTTCCAAAACCCATGTCCACCATGCTAAAATTGTAATAGATGGTATAAGCATCCCATTATTCAATGAAGATTTTAACAAAGCTAGCTTTACTAAAAATAATTTATCTAAATCAACAGAATCTAAACCTGGTCTAGCTCAAAAGAAGGTTATGAATATAATTAACAAAATTCTCTCAAATATTGAAGATAGACTCAAAGGGTCATTGCTTTGTAACATACCTCCTTCATATCTACTATCCAGAAGATTAAATGATGATGTTTCCAAAAATAAGAGTAAGAAAAATAATATCAAATATTCTACAGATGCTTTTTCTAATTCAGACACTTTAGACAGCGATTCAAGTAATTCTTCCACATTTAGTTCAGAAATAGAAGTTACACATGCGTATAAGACTAGAGCAGTAAAGAAATGCCTTATTTGAAAGCGTAAAGTAAAAGGTAAAGTTAATTATCAAGCTTGATGATCTTATATATAGCCACAAAGTGAAGTAAATCATATCACGTTATAATGGGCCTCAAGGGAGCCATGTCATGTGTTTTAAATCCATGAATTAGAGATCAGCATAGAAGTATTTCGGTACTAACCAACTCACTAACCGCACTTATTGCAGAGCAATGACCCTTTGGGTCTACCCTTAAGCTAAATTTTTTATCCACGATTGCCAGCAAAGATCAAGCGATTTTCCCATACTAATTAATTCTGAATGAATAGATTGCCAAATTCGAAATAAGATTTTATAAAATCTGCAAATTAGATTTGTTAGTCGTGAAGAATAAACTATAAAAATAAGCAAAGTATAAGAGATTTCGTTATGTAAAACTTATCTAGTTATAATTGAAATATGTCTACTACTTCTACTTTTGCACCATCTACTCTCATTAATAACATCAAAAATCTCGTATATAATATTCTAAAAACCTTCAAGGATGGTATTATTAAGGGTAAAAAAATTCCAAATATAAGTAATTGTTCAGAATGTGGGAAAGAAATTATTTCATATCCTCTTAAGGCATTTACAACACTATCTTGTGGACATGTGTTTCATAGACTTTGTATTGAAAAAAAACTTTTACCTACAATTCCAAATACGTGTCCATTTTCTGGTTGTAGTGAGGAGGTTAAAATTATTGAAACGGGGCATAGAAGGGGCTCTGAATCAAGTACATCATCAGTAGTTAGAAAGATGGAAAAACATAGTATTCAATCTCAAGATTTGCCAGAAATTATAGAAGAAGATGTGTCAGATATAGATAATAATGAAGATGGTGAAGGTAATCATCCAACAGACCAAAGCATTATCTCTTTAGAAAAAAAATTCTATAAAAAACCCAGTAAAGATACCCCTGAAAATAAATTATCTAGTAAGAAAATAAAGACTAAAGACAGAAATGTATCTATGTTAAAAAAACTTATTGAGGAGCTGAAATTGCCAAGTTCTTTAACAAGTAGTACCACTTTTCAGGCTGAATCTATCACAAGCCCAAGTAATTTTTCTGATTTATACAGTGCAATTGTTAAGGCTGAAGAATGAATTGAAAGTGTGAATCAAGAAATTATTATATACTATTTTGCTTTTGGAAAAAAGCTTAAGGAAAGGTTAGCCGAGTATATAAAAGATAATAAAGAGCGTAGATCTCAGAGAAAACTTTATAAAGAAGTTGAAAAACAGCTTCCATCTAACCTCTCAAAAAATGCAATTAAGAAAAGAATAGAAAGAGCAAGGAAAATTTATGACCTTTTTAGTAGCATAGGAGAGAATAAAATACAATGGGTAAGATCTTATTCAGCATTGAGAATTTCCAAATTAAGTTGAAACGAAATTGATGCTATAGAAGAGGAGTTTGAATGAGATCATCTTTACTACGCCACAATCACGTGACTTTGGTTGACCGATCGGTCAGTGGAACCAGAATAGCTAAAATACATTAAGTCACCAAAATTAATAAAAATTTTGTTTTAACATTAAGTATTGATTATATCAAAATTACATAGTTTTTTGTTGTGTAAAACCCGTCAAAAGATAAAAAGATAAAATTGGTTGCAAAAATTCGCTCGCAAAATAAAATTATAACCCTACCATATCGTATATCATAATTTATTTTTGACTTATTGTACAACCTATGTTATGACTCTATGCATAATTTATTTATGATACGGGGCATAGGTATAAAGTGCCATTTTTTGAAATAATGGATCATGACACATTGATTTTTTGCAAAGAAATTTTAGTTACATTAATATATCAAAATGAAAAATCAGAATGCATATAAAAACAGGAAAAATTATATCAAAAAGTGGCACATCTTTAGAGGCTGGAAGCATGGATGTAAGGTTTGTGACGAATGCAATCATCACTCGCATCTATATTGTAAGACATGTAAAAAAGCAACGGACGGAATATATAGGCAATGTGAATGCTCGACATCACATGATTCATATAAGTAACATCCGCAGTGTAGATGTAAGTCTATTTTTTCCAGAAAGTTCTAGCATAAAATTAATGATTTGTACGGATTAAACCGATATCGATCAGATCTTCATGATGCGGTTATATTTCTTTAAAGATTGATTCCAAGATTGATCCTTAGACCTACTACAAATTATATAAAGGGTGAGGCCTTGGTTAGTGAACTCATTTATTCGTCTTGTACAAGTAAATTGAAAAAATATCAAAACGAAACAATAAAACTTACTATTATTTGCATCATCGATATTTACAATCAAATGAACTCGTATTTTCTGCAAAGTAATAATAAAGTAAGTTGGTTTATTGCTCGGCTAGCTTTTTTAAACATGTCATCACTATGCTAATCGATTTTATCACCTCTGTAGATGTTTCAAAATAAAATGGACATATTGCTCTTAACATTTTGATAAAAATCATCGTCATCTGATACTCATCATATGGATTGGCATAGCAAAAGTCTGGCACGTAATCCCTCCCTTGAAAGCATGTCATATACTTCACTTACTCTTAACAGAAAGCAAATCAGAAACATATTTCTCATAGACAGTAATTGTAGGGAATTTTGTAAATGTAAAAGAGAAACCAAAGCCCTAGCTAGTATCTTAAAAAAATATAATTGTTAGTGAACAGAAAATAGAAACTATTTTGCATTGCCCTAATACTAAAAAAAAAAATAAAGTTTACACTTCCTTATTTAACTGTGTTAACAATCATTCTTGAGGAAGTTGAAGCGATGGAAGGGGCCTGGAGTTACCAACCGGCTTCTCCAAGAGGAGAAGGGTTGCACACACAAGGACATCACCAAATGGAAACGTATCGTCGTGGGTGTTGTAAACAACCAGTTCCATGCTCCCAAAGAAGAGGCGTTACCAGCCAGCTTCTCCAAAAGGAGAAGGGTTGCACACACGAGGGCGTCACCAAATGGAAACGAATCGTCGTGGGTGTTGTAAACAGCTAGTTCTGTGCTCCCCAAAAAGAGTCCTCAATAATTTTTTTATATCGATATACTATTTTGTCTTTGTAAATATATTTAAAAAATATTTGTAAAAGGTATTTTAAAAATTGAACCGATCAATTTTTTGGGGCCCTTTTTAGATAAATTGTTACATGAATTTTTGCTCATAAGTAACAAACGAAATACTTGTCACAAGCAATAGAAGAGCTTCTATAGTAATTAAACAAGATAAAAAATCAATAAAAACCAAATAAAACGGGTATAGAAGGAAGCACTATTAAAATATTCAGGTGTTTTAGGAAGAGTTGGTTGGGTTGGTCATTTTACAATGGGTTAAGGGTGAATTCAGAAGAAATTTTTCAAGCGAAGAATTTTTATGATGATCTTCAATTATGATTGGTTGATTTTGGGGTTACCGGATTTTTGATCAATTGGAAGAGAATCACGTTGTTATACAGAAATCAATAATATGGGTTCTGCTTCGTGTGTTAAGCCAATTGACATAGGATTCTCCTCGTAATTCCAAATTTATTGTCAACAAAGTAATATGGCAGATCCAAAAACTGTAAGTATTTACTACTGTTGTGATCTCTATTTTCTGAAGAAGTCAACTCTATATTTTCTGCCCTTCTAGTTCACGATTCCTCTTCCTAAAGATATGCATGACTACTTTTCATCAGCTCCTTTCACAACCTGCACGTTCATCGAGTTTCTGCGCCAGCTCGATTTAGAACAGAAACTAAAGAATACTGAACAGAGGTCAATTCACGGAAATTACATGAAAATCCTGAATTCATTGAGCATAGACCAAGCTATACCACAATTTGCTCGGGATCATGCAAAAAAGCTGATGAAAGAGCTATCTGTATGTTATAATTCCTAATTTACTTAGTAACCCTTCTGCAAAATGTGAATTAACTCAATATGTTGATAAAACATCATGTTAGACCAAGGAAGTCGCTTCATTTTGGGATTCGATAGTAGAACGTGAAAAACATCGTGCCGCCGAGGAACATGATTACAAGTTGCTTGAACAAGTTTGAAACAAGCATGTCTTTATTGGTGGTGCTGACGTTGCTAGAGTGCAAGAAGAATATAAGGTAGACGAAGAATTATTGGAAGCTTCTACAGAGAAAAAGCGAAAAAACGAGGATGACATCGAATCGACACCACCCACAAAAAAGGTAACAGCACAGCGGTGTTTTCCTCACTAGTTCATATGTTGTTTACATTGATTGAAAAAACTTACATATACCGCTTTATAATTTAGTCCAGGTCAGATTATGAATCTTATACACCATCTTCATCTGAAATGGAGAAATTACCTTCGCTAATAACTGATTTGGCTTATAATGATGAAGATGATGAAATTATGATTATAAAGGATGTTCCTTAACTATCTTTAGAGAATAGAGATCTTGAAGGAGATTTTTTTATAGAAGGATGTAATATTTCAAAATTATTTCGACAATATAAAAATAAATCAATTAATCTTGCCAATTCTGGTGGTTTATATGCTGAGACAAACGTTCACGAAATTTTAGCTTTGACTTCAATATTCATGCTTACGCCAAATTCTCATTCCGAAATGATGATTAATATCTTTGGTTCTCAAAACTTATTAGACAAAATACATAAAATACTCTTTCCAACAATAAACGAGAATTAGATGCAGAATGTGAATCTAAATTTAGGAGAATAATAAAGCAATCAATCAATGATTCACGAGACAGTACTATTAAATCCTCAATAGCATACTTAGCAGAAAATAATTCAAAGGAAAATCTAGGATTTGTAATTTTAGAAGAGTTGAGATTATTACCTAATTTGAAATTAAAAAGTCAACCAAGCGAAATGTCATTAATTACTAACTATCTGGACTATATAATGAAAGAATTACTTCATGAGCCTGACAAGCATAGAGTTGAGTGGCCGAATACAGGTCTCAAAGAAAGTAGAGCGAGAAAATTGGAAGGCAGTGCTAGACAACCCGATTTCATAGTATCGGCAATTAATCAATTAGAAACAAGCGGAACATTATTTGTAGGAGAAGTAACGTCCCCTACTGAAAAAGAAAATGTACACAAAAACTGCAATGATTTAATCCGCGTTGGTGTTTTGATGAAGGAATGCATCGATTCAGCCATAGATAAAGGTGCAGATGTTAAGCTTTTGGGATTTCAATGTATCGGTAAGATAAATTAAAATAATAGTTGCTTTGTTCCTTCATGTAATACTAAAATAATTTCATCATATGCTTTCTAGAATATACAATTGATTTTTACGCAATGGAACTTAGTGCACCGGGTTATATCTTATGTACCATATTGGTCAAGCTTCGATTCCCACTTCAGTAAAGACAATGACACATTTTATTGATGATATAGAAACTTTTCTGACAGTACGAGATATTTTTCGAGAATCATTTGTTAATTTTTATGATAAATTATGTAACTCAAAAGAACAATCAACAAAAGTTCCATTTAAATGTGAGACTTTATCTACGCCAAGTTTCAATCAACTTGTTAGCAATACGCATAATGTCAAAAGAAAATGCTCTTTCTGGTTTGGAAGGTTTTAGAATTACAACTGTTGATGTATAAAATAAATTTATTACACAAATCCTGTCATGTGAATCTTTATTACTAATAAAATATTGTGCTCACATGCAACATATATTGTTGAGTAAAAAAACATGATAAATGATTTCTGCTTTAACCTTTTTTTACTAGTTATAATCGGTAAATTCTGAATTATATATATCGAATTTGTACTGTAAGCATTTGGGCTTATGTGATCGAATCATAAATTTGTTATTTTTGAGCCTAAACAAAACCGCTATGAAAGAAGCCGACGTGCCAGCAATAAATATTTGAGAAGAAAGCTTCTGAATGAGGTGACTACGCAAATAAGACATGGTAAATATTTCTGAGCATTTGTAATTAGGTACACAAGCTAATATCCTTTTTTTTTTCGTTCAGAATTTTCAAGGACTACTGGCATCGCGGAAGGCAAATGACAAATTTATGGCGAAACTTTATTGATGTTAATGTTAATTTATTTTCTGACACAGCATGCTTCGCACAAGTATAACTGATGCTGATGACCATTTTTTTTCTATCAAGAATATCGATGATTGGGACAAATAAAACCGGATCATAGAGGAAATAAATGAAAAATTGGTGTGGTCCTTAGGCATTATAATAGAAACATCATTCCACTTTGTAAAACGAAATTACAGTCTATGAGCTGAATCATGTAATATATTTGCATTCTGTATTAATAAAGTGAGTGGGGCAGTGGTGATTATGTCAATGCAAAAACTTATGTTGGGAAGCTTATCAAAATGGAATCCAAATAGTAACTGTAAAAGCATAGGTTAATAAGGTAACTAAGTGTGGACTCTGTTATCTCTACTAATTAATAATCGCAAATTTCATTGCAAAAATCGTATTAAAATAAAAAATGGCAGGGGCACAAAACCCCTCTCTTTATTTCATAAAAATTATTGCCATAATGACAATATACAAATAAAAAATAAATAATAAATTTTTTTCTGATTATTCATTAAGGATCATAATCATCCTGATCACTACAATCGGCATCACCAGTTGAATACCACATCTAACTATCAAGAGAATGGTTAACCTTATCTCTATATCTGTAATAATGCAAAATTGGCTTATCAGAGATATAATCTATTTTAAATAGAAAAGAAAACTAAGTCCCTGGTGATTGTATTTACAAAATATAAACTTTACTTACAAAATCTGAGACTATACGTTCTAGGTATATAACCTACTGGGATAACAACCCCTGAGGCGTTAGAATCATTAGTCATGAGGGTATTGCTATTATTGGTCTTGGGGGTGTTACTATCATTAGTCATGGAGGTGGTGGTGTTATTACTCGTAGTAGTTGCGTCATTAGTCTTGAGGGTGTTACTATCATTAGTCATAGAGGTGGTGGTGTTATTACTCGTAGTGGTTGCATTATTAGTCTTGGGAGTGGTGTTGGTGTTATTAGTTATAGGGGTAGTGGTTTTATTAGTACTGTTCATTTTTCATTCCTAAGAACAAAAAAAATCATAGTAAATAAAAAATTCATTTTCATAGTCTCCAATAAATAAAATAGCAAATTACCTAAAAAATATGGTGCAAGAGAATCAAGAAAAAAATATATAAGCAAAAAAATAACGTTATTGCTAACTTATCTTAAGGTGGAAACATGCTTATTTTTATACTTCATATTCATTAGATCAAAAGAACCTGTCAGAAGAAAAATCACAAGCTTAGTAATTACATTACCCTAATACAATACCATACTACACTTAACAAAGCAACTCCGCTCGGTCATAAGTTCCAAACACTGAGCCTATTTTGTTATTTTTTCTGGTAAACTTAAACCCCTTAGATTCAACGATTGCTTAAGGTGAGTTTAGATCTGATGATCTGGGAATTCCAAGTTCCTGCAACATATAAATTTGGACCAAACTACTGATTAAGAACATTATACGTATTACCCTTATAACCTTTTTAAGTCCCATTTTTGTCGTGGGATCTTATATAATAAGAAAATAGTCTAGATATAATTCATAATATTCATTATAAATCAAAAAATTGACTGTGAGAAATTCAGAACTTTATTTCATAATACAGATCAGGATAATTCTGATTGTGATATTGATATTGGTATAAATAATAGTGGCAAAAAACTTAGAATATCAAAAAAACATGCCATATATAATAAGAAATATTCTAAATCTACAAAGTCGGTTTCACAATCTCCAAAGATTAAAAATTCAAGACGAAGCTATCTTGATAAGTATAATTGTTATGTTAAAATTATTTATAATCATTCTCTGAACTCAATATTTATATTTATTTCAACTTATTTAAAATCTTGAGCCTGCAAGAAGAGGTCTACTCACAAAATACAAAAAATAATTAGCATTAGATTATAATCAGATTGCTTTTTTGTATATTTTGAGTACTCAAAAAATTGAATATTACAATTCATTAGTATATAGTTAATAAAATCTAATAGAATGGTAGCTAGTGTGGAACCTAGAGCAGAATACTTAAATAGATAACCAAAAGTTGTATATATAGCTAGTCGTACTCTCGTTAGTTAATAATCAGAGAGCTTAAATAGGTAATCTCCTAGTTAGGTTGCAGGTATGGCGGCTAGTGTAGAACCCAGGCGGACTACTTAAATTAGGTACCAAAAGTACACGTGTGGCTAGTTGTATCCTCGTAAAATTGATATATATAATATCGTATTTATCTGAATAAAGCTAAGTGCCAGGGACCTAAGTGGTCACTTTAATATTAAAAAAAAAAAAAAAAAAAACTTACAGATACTTATAACTTTGTACTTGTAAAATTTATTGTTGAATTAGTTTATATCATCAAACGTAAAGAAAAACAAAATAAATACTTTGTCAATATATACATGTTTTAAATATTAATAGATAAAAATTGTATTAGTATATAGTAGAACAAAAGAACAAGAAATATTCAATATATTTTTATAACTTCAAATAGGTTATTTTCTTTTAATTTTTTTTATTCATACTAGAAACATAGTAGAACAGAGTATATGATTTTATTTGAGTTTTGTATTTGTCTACAAAATCTCAATTTTGATTGGTGCTCTTACTTTTATATACATTATACTAAAAAGTATATACTTCCTTTTTTTATATATTCAACGAGATCTTGAAATTGTAATTTTATAGGTAGAGGTGTATATATGTGTATGTATCAGGAATGTAGTATTTTCATTTACAAATTTTAAATAATTGTATGACTTAATAATCTAAATTCTTGTTAACTTAAATATTAAGTAATCTTTGATTTAGAGTAATACTTTTAACTTTTGATGACTATTTAACTTCACTATATAAAAATATACTAATAACTATAAATTATGTTTAAAATTAATTAAATTTAGCTATTAAACAAAAAGCATGGTCAAAAAGCAGACACTACAAGAACGAAAAACCCAGTGATTATTACATTACATGAAATTATACAATTACTTCATTTGTTTACTAGTATTAACAAAATCAGTCTAAACTAAACTATCATCTTACCCACACTAATTTTAATTTAAGACAAAAGATTTATTGTATGATGTAGATGTTCTGGTAGAGCTTATCTACTCTTGTATAATTGCAAATATTGTGAATTACATTTCTGGTTTTAGCATAATAGCACAATATCATATAGCTATCTTATATTTATTAATTAAATATAATGATCAAAATATATAGTAAGTAATACAAATATTATTAAAATTTATGCTATAAAACAGTATATAATTATAGCATTTGTTAGTTTTTTAACAGTGAGTATTAATTATAAAATAGTATATAACTATAGCATTTGTTAGTTTTTTAACAATAAGTGTTAATCAATACAAAAATTGTTAACAAATTACATTTAAAAATGGCATATAACTATAGTGTTTGTTAGTTTTTTAATAGTAATTGTTAATCAATACAAATATTGTTAACAAACTATATTTAAAAATAGCATATAACTATAGCGTTTGTTAGTTTTTTAACAGTAAATATTAGAAGGGTGTGGTGGCTTAGTAAAGTGGTCTAGTTGTCACCCCACCAAGTAGCAGGTTTAGAGTTCAAATCCTATGGATGACATTTTTTGAAAAATAAATCTGCATTAGGTAATGATTATCTATCGATCGGTTAAATCTACAATCTGTAATTTTGGTTGTATCATCTCGTTATGGAAGCTTTGGTGCAGAAATGCCAAAAAACCAGAATGATCAAAACCTGTTTAGAAAGACCCAAGTAAGGAGGTAGCAATACTTTCACGATGCTACAGGAAGGCTAAATTTAGAAGTAATGGCCAAGATTGGAGAACCGAATGACAACAAGTTTCTTAAGTGGGAGGATCTACCAATCTGACTGCCAATTGGAGAGAAGAGTAGCATACCAACCTAGTTAGCCAGCGTGAAAAACTGGGCTAGCTATCTGCCGTGACTAGAATTTGGGAGTTAGGTTCTACTTATTGACAAGAGCTGGGTGATCCCTAGAGACTAGCCGGACCCAATTAAAGAAAAAGGATATGTGCTTTAAAATCATGTACTATGATGAGACGGAGCATAAGGCACCTAAAGCCTAGTCAGGGTTGAATCTTCCAGGTCACAGGTTGGAAGTAAGAGAGGGACCAATAAGGTAATTACGAAAAAAGGAAGACCTGAATATGAGTACTAGAGTTGAAGTGAATCTTACAAGGGCATGGTGATTTAATTAGATTATATCAAACTACAAGTAGAAGCCTTGGCAACTGCGATGTCTGGGTCAGTCAAATACAGGATACAGAAGGCTCCGGTAGGTTTATTTCGAGGATAGCCATGCGTCCACTCAATGGAAGAATGCAAGCTAGTAATTAGTTGGTGCAAACCCAGAATAAGTCATGGAAGTCCTAAGGCAGGGTATGCAATCTAGTGGAATGGGCCAGATGGTAGTTTCTAGATAGTGCTCGGCACAATCAAACAAAAATTTGACAGTCAAATACTTGTTAATACTTGTGATTAAGTTAGACATCAAAT